GTAGTTTTGAACTGCTGACCTTGAAGCTCGCAGCCCGATTCGTAACCACTACGCTACCAGAGCTCTTTTATATATATATATATATATATATAATACACTAGAATACATGTTCATGGAACTTGTATTCTAGTGTATAATACATCTATGTTTGTTTTAATGTGAAAGCAGTGTTTTAACTTACAAGATAAATTGGTATTTCAGGAAAGCTTCCCTTCACCATATATTCCTGTGCACACATATTCTTCTATCCTCCAATTTGGGACCACTTCCTTATCATTTGAAATGCTATATGCGTGGAGTCCTGGTGTGGTTCTGTGGGTTAATGCGCCAGACTGCAAAGCCGTTTGAACAGCAAGGTTGGCGGTTCAAGCTCATTAGTCACTCCTCAGAAACCTTATACAGGGTCGCTATGGGTCAGAACCAACTTGACGACACTTAATAACAACATACATGTATAAATAATACAAATATATGTTGTATTTGCTTTATGCAAGCTAAATAAAATAGACCATAATTTTTAAAAGATATACTGCTGTTGTTAAGTGTCATTGAATTGATTCCAACTCATAGGGATCCTATATAAGTTTATGAGGAGTAGCTAATGAGTTTGAACCACTACTAAAAGATGTGTGTGTAGTCAATTAATGTTAACATTTCTTGAAATTCTTGGGTGTGAAAATTCTTCAAATTCTTTCTTTCTTGAAATCCTAACCAACATTATTCTATTTCCTTTGAATTTTCAGCTTTCTGAGAAGGGGAAACCTTATGTTGATATCCAAGGTTTAACTGCTTCTACCATGGAAATCCTGTTGGACTTTGTGTATACAGAAACGGTACATGTGACAGTGGAGAATGTACAAGAACTGCTCCCTGCAGCCTGTCTGCTTCAACTGAAAGGTACAGACATTGAAACTTGATACTATTCATGTCAAAATAGCCCTGTGACAGTCTTTCAAATTAATAATGTAAATATAATCATGAAAATTTTGTAGACAAACTGTGGGCACTCATGTGTCCCCTGACTTGCCTCTGTGGGCAGCAAGATCTGATGTCCATAAAAATGTAAGAGAACTTCTCCAAATGTATTTGGCTCTTTAGAAGAAAACATTTACCTTTTGTATTTAAGAAATGGAGGAGGGAGTAATATGTGCAATATCTTACATCTAAGAAGGCTTTAAAAAACTCATGGGAAAAAATGCATTCTTCCATTTTGCCACAAACTCTTTGAAGCCCCATATAAGTACACTCTAGCCCTGGAATGAAACAAAAGAAACTGATACTCTTCATTACCTACATGGGAGGGAACAAGGTGACTAAGGTAATAACTGGCAAGCTAGGGGGCATTTTCATGGTAAATCCTTTAATATCTTTTAAAATTTGTAAATTATCTCTTTAAAATATTATAATTGACACATTCAAATCAGAATATAAAGTCTTCACAGGATGAGAGCTAGCTCTCCTAGTTCCTAATCCTGCTTTTCTTACCCTCTTGTTTTTGTTTATTTCAGTTTTTATATATGCATGATTGAATAGTTTTTTAATACTGTAGAAATTTTGCATTTGTGTACAGTTATAAAATTGTTTATACTATAAGCTTTTTTGTTTAGAAAAGCATGAGATTATTATTAGTGGCTTTTGTTGTCCTTCACTTGAGTCTTAAGTAAGTCTTCACACAGAGTAAAAATTAGGTACATTATACCAAATTAGTAATTGTTTTTTTAACTTGATTCACAAGAGTTCTATGGGTATTTGTGTTTAATTGTGCCCCAAACCAAACCAAACCAAACTTGTTGTCATTGAGTCTATTCTGACTCATAATGTCATTGGCCAGAGTAGAACAGCCCCATAGAGTTTCCAAGACTATCATATTTACGGATACAGACTGTCACATCTCACTCCTGCAGAAGGACTGATGGGTTCAAACTATTGATCCTTTGGCTAGCAGCTCCACACTTAACCTTGGTGCTGCCAGGTCTCTCCCTTTAATTTTGCCAGTGTTCCTGAAAGCAATTGGTCTTGCTAGATTCATTTTAAAAATGAAGCAAAGACAGGTATAATGGCCTTGCTGAAGAAAGATCATACACAGCATATAAAACAGAAGTAGGATTTGAACTCCGTAAGCATAACATTTCTAATTTGGGTTTTGAATGTTGAGCCAGGCTGTCTCTGTTAACTGTGTTGAAAAAATTTTGAGATATGAGAATGTAGACCAATTCAGCACCTGAAAAGTACCATGAAGTATTCACTGTCTGTTTTTGTCCTAGGTGTGAAGCAAGCCTGCTGTGAGTTCTTACAAAGTCAGTTGGACCCTTCTAATTGCCTGGGTATCAGGGACTTTGCTGAAACTCACAATTGTGTGGACCTGATGCAAGCAGCTGAGGTCTTTAGCCAGAAGCATTTCCCTGAAGTAGTACAGCATGAAGAGTTCATTCTTCTAAGTCAAGGAGAGGTGGAAAAGCTGATCAAGTGTGATGAAATTCAGGTACAGATTTGATTCAAGACAGGCCATTACAAACTTGAAGAGCAGGATGGAGTTATTATGTCTCTGTAGCAGGGCTTCTTATTCTAGTGTCCATATTCTACAGGTTTCATTAGCCGTCCGAAATGCTATGCCAAATTTATTTTCATGTTTATGGAGAAGGAGTTAAATCAGTTTCCTCATGAAATACATGATACCAGTGGTTAAGAATCACTTTTTAACAGGGTGGAATAAGCAAACAAATGGAAATGGAAGTCGATTTCTGTTGTTGTTGTTGTTTAGTGCCATCAAGTCAGTTCCAACCTATAGTGACCCTGTATAGGGTTTCCGAGGAGAGGCTGGTGAACTTGAACCGCCAACCTTGCAGTTCTGTTTTGTTGTTGTTAGGTGCCATTGAGTCAGTACCAACTCATAGTGACCTCGTGCACAGCAGAACGAAACACTGCCCGATCCTGGGCCAGCCTCACTATTGTTGCCACGCTTGAGCCCATTGATACTGCCACTTCACCAATCCATCTCGCTGGGAGTCTTCCTCTTTTTCTCATTTTGCATTTATTGAGAATATCTCCTATGTAGCCATCACTATGCCAGGTACTATAGACCTTAAGGAATCCTAGTGTGGTGCTGTGGGTTAATGTGCTGGACTGCAAAGTTGTTTGAATTGCAGTGTAGGCAGTTCAAGCTCGCCAATCGCTCCTGGAAACCCTATACAGGGTTGCTATGGGCTGGACCCAATTTGATGGCACTTAACAACAACTTAGATCTTAAAGTGAGTAAGACAGTTCCTGACTCAGATCATTCACCATACAATAGTCTAGACAAGCATATAAGCTAAACATTGTTAGAGTAGATTATAGAGATTAATAGCAACACCTCTGCAAGGTAAGATTACATGGAAGAAAAAGAAATCAACTTCTGCCTGAGAGTGGATCAAGAAGGAAGGGACAAGAGCTTGGAGATGTGGATTTATGTGAGCAGGGCCAGATCATAAGTGCTTTGCGGGGGTTAGGGAACGTCCAAATAAGGGACATATGAAGTGGGCATCAATTTTGTTTTGTTTTTTAACTTTTTTATTGTGAACTGAGTGAAAGGATATTAAATTTGAGCCAAGTTTTTCCTTATACTTTTCCCTAGTGACTTTTTTTTTTTCAATGTTTTATTGTGAATGATGTGATAGTTTACATGGGAGAACATTGGTTTTACATTCATCCTATCGTATATCATTACATTGCTATGGTTACAGTCCCCTCCATGCATCATCAACCAACCAAAGGTATACTACTACAAGCCTGCCCCTCGGTTGTCAGCACACAGCCCCTCTCCCTCTCTGTTCCCTAGTGACATTTATGAGGGGAAATTGATTAGGGCTCATCAGTGACATTGTTTCCAGTTAAAGAGAAGTTATTTTCTAACTTGACTTGCTGTTGCATATCAACTCAGAGAATTTGCTGTTATACATGCTGCTGATCCAAGTATTTGCTAGTTTTTGTTTTTACCCTCTTATGGGACACTGTGTCCTTGCACTGAACTGCCAGGAAAAGCTAAATTATATGGGCTTCAGACATGATAGCTAGTAATTCACTAGAGATCTTTATTTTTCTTGATTTGTCCATATATTAGAAAATATCTTATATAAAATTTAAGAAAGCTAAAGTATATGATCTTCAGATATGATAGCTAATAATTCACTAGAGATCTTTGTTTTTCTTGATTTGTCCATATATTGGAAAATATATAAAATAGACATTATGACTTGAAGTTCATCGTATATAATAGTAAAATAGATATTTAACAGCGTTTATAGCGTAGTGGTTACGAATTGGGCTGCGAACCTCAAGGTCAGCAGTTTGAAACTACCAGCCGCTCCACGGGAGAAAGATGAGGCTTTCTGCTCCTGGAAGGATTTATAGCCTCGGAAACCCTGTACAGGGTTGCTATGAGTCAGAACCAACTCCACGGCACATAACAACAACATATTGGTCAAGTATTAAATATGTATTGAGCACTTACTGTGTACACCAACAAGTTCAGGGTAGAGTTAAAATTGTGAACATATTTTAAAATCCCCGTACTCTGGTGCTGATATTCCACTATCAGTGTTTTTTGACATTTTATAGTGATTATCTTATTTAACTTAAGGTCAGCAGTTTGAAACTACCAGCCGCTCCACGGGAGAAAGATGAGGCTTTCTGCTCCCATAAAGATTTACTGCCTTGGAAACCCTGTACAGGGTCACTATGGGTCAGAACCGACTTGACGACATATAACAACAACAACAACAACAACAACAACATCTTATTTAAACAACTATCTCCATTTATCTTAGAGGAAAGTGAAGCTTGGAAGTTGACCACTATACCACAGCTAGTAAGCAGTAGAGCCAGGATTAAAATTTGAAGCCAGGCAGTCTGGCTTCTGAATTTGTTTTCTTCACCCCTAAACTAGAATGATCACCTAGTCTGTTAATTTCTGATTGATCAAATCAGTAGGCAGTCAACAGAAGTCATTTCAGATAGTTATTTCAGAACTACTAAAATTAAAACAAAACAAAGAGAACCATTATCTAACCACGTTATGCAGAGACTGAGATGAAAACAGTTGTACGGTCTTCCTTACATGTGTGTCAAAACTAGACCTTGTTTTTTCCTGGAAAAAACAGCAAATGACCTATTTTTTCTGTTCTGTAGTCCTGCTATAAATAGCAACCAGATGTCTGACTCCCAGTTGCTAACTACAGCTTCCTCTTATTATTTAAAACAATAGAACTTTAAACAGTGGTAAGCAGTATATCCTATTAGGTAATATGGGCTTTGAGTCTTGGCTGTGTGACTTTGGATAAGTTACCTAACCAGTAATCCTCAGTTGCTTCTTCTATAAAATGCAGATAATATTAGTACTTAGTACTAATAGGCTGTTGTATTAAATCAGAAGGCCAATGTCTGATACATGAGAGAATGCTCCCTGAAATTTTGTTATGAAAAAATTTTTTTTATCTCCACAGGTGAACATGAATGTTGTGGGCTTTTTCTTAATAGTTTTAGCTGTTTCTCTGTAATTACAGCTTATTCTGTCTTTAGTTAGATCAAGAATCTCTGTGTATGATTGAAAAACTTGATATTTAAATTTATATACCTAATTTAAACCTAGAAAACATCAGAGTTTAGCATGCAGGTGCCTGAAACTTTCAGCCTATGATTCTTGTTTTTAAAAGAAATTTAAAAAAATAAAATGGATACTTTTCCGCTCCTTTTCCAGCATCTAATCCATCAGTAGGCAAGATTAGTTTTATCTTCCAAGTGCTTCTCCAGTGCATCTCCTTCTCTTTATCATCAGTACTATAACTGTAGCCAGCAAGGTTATATCATCTGCATATCACCGGTTGTTAACGCGTCTTCCTCCAATCCTGATGTCACTTTCTTCTTCATATAATTCAGTTTCTTAATTATTTGCTCAGCATACAGATTTAATAATTATGGTGAAAGAATACAATCCTAGAGCACAACTTTCCTGATTTTAAATCATTCGGTGTCCCCTTGTTTTATTTGAACAGCTGCCTCTTGGTGTACAAGTTCCTCAAGAGTGCAATTAAGTATTCAGGAATACTCATTCTCTGCAGTGCTGTTCATAACTTGTCATGATCCACACAGTCAAAAGCCTTTGCACAGTCAGTAAAGCACAAGTAAACATCTTTCTTGTAGCCTATGCTTTTAGCCAAGACCTATCAGGTATTAGCAATGATACCCTTTGTTCCTCGTCCTCTTCTGAACCTGACTTGAATTTCTGGCAGTTCTTTATCAATGTACTGCTGCATCTGTTTTTGTATTATCGACAGAAAATTTTTACTTGCATGGAAAGTTTGAGCTTTAAGCACAGTGCGATCCATTTCTGTTAAGCTGGAAATGATCTATATCTACATTGTCCAGTTTGATAGCTGCTATCCACATGTAGCTATGGATCACTTAAAATGTGGCTAGCACTACTGAGAATCTCTATTTTTAGTATAATTGAATTTTAATGTAACAGTAAATAACTACATATCACTGGTGGCTACCATATTGGACTGTGAAGCCTACCAATAATCATAAACCCAGCAAAACTGACCTTAAAATATGACAGCAAAGTTAGGACATTTCCTGAATAACAGAAATTAAAGGAATTTGTTATGACCAGACCAACTTTATAAAAAATGCTGAAGGATGTTCTTTGGACAAGAACCAACAATAGCAGACAATAACCTGAGTTTACCATATGTGACAACACCATCCAGAACTCAATCCAGATGTTGAAGTATTTAAAGTAAAACAAATCTACAAGATTGAAAATAGGGAACCAGAGATATCAATGTATAATGAGGTCAACTACAAAACAAAAAGAGGGAATAGTGTAGATACAGAACTTCCAAACGGCAAGGAAGTCAAGTAGAATTCAATATGCTTAATCGGGGGAAAAAAAATTAACAAATTACAAAGTAACCTCAAAGAAACTACATAAGAATCAAAATAGCAAAAACAAGAGGAAAATCAAAAAGATTTAGTAAACATTAACACAATAGAAATGAAAATGACAAGAAAATCTACAAACAGAATGAAATCAACTTAGAAAATTATGTGGAACAGAGAATCCAGCAGTGCAAAAAAAAAAAAAACAACCCAGGAAAAATGACAGTGATCGATTCATTTCTATTGATAATTATACTGTAAATGGAATTAAATGTACCACTTAAGAGACATAGACAACAGAGTGGATAAAAAAGCAGGATTTTTCAATAAGCAGACTACAAGAGACTTACCAAAAAGATGGAGACAGCCTAGATGCTGATCCACAGAAGCAGTGGTTAAACTTTTAGTACATACACACAATGGAATACTATGAAACATTGAAGAATAATGATGAATCTGTGAAATACCTCATAACATGATTAAACCTGGAGGGCATTATGCTGTGTGAAATTAGTCAAAGTAAAACTAATGTAAGGCTCTTTAAGCCTTCACTAAATTCATAATAAGAAAGTTGAAAAAAAAAAAATGCAGATGTTTTCCATATATTATCACGAGCAGCCACTGATGACTTTCAGGCTGCTAGGCACTACAGTTTTGCTGGCCACAGGCTGAATGTATCCTAAAGTTCTATGTGATATATGGAATAGCAGAAGTTCTGTATTGAAAGTTATAGAGGAGAAAATAGCCAACAGCCCTGCTCTAAACATCCTCTTTCTCCACTTGATTTTTTTGTTTGTTCGTCGGCTGGTCAAATAAACACATTGTGGAAACAAAAACCAGCAAAAAGAGATCATGGAATTTTTCCACTAGCTTTTTGAAGCCCCTTCATATATGTCATACCAGATAGCATAGTACCTGATAGATACATGGTGGTTCCTCGAGTGCTGGTTAGAAATACTTTGAAAACTGAAGCATTCTACATAAGAAGTTCCCACGTCATAGACTGTAGATGAAGATGTTGGTGAGCAAGGCTGGCAGTATTTAGACAACACTCATGAATAAGTTATTTCAAGAACCAGTTGTAATTGTTGTTGTGTGTTATCGAGTCACATCTGACTCATAGTGACCCTTTATAGGGTTTCTGAGAATGTTTGGTCAGTTTGAATTGCTGACTTTATGGTTAGCAGTCCATTGCTTGTCTTATAGTACCATACCAGGAGTCCAGTTTTGAATAGAGCAACAAATTACCAGGAAAAAAAAATAATAAAGAAAATTCTGAGGCCAACATGTGATCGGCACTATCTATCTTAGTAGGAACCATTTTTATCCAAGTTGTCTGTAATTCTTTTCTTAGATTGAGCTAGCTGTGTCTAAAAAGATGATTTCCCCAGGAGTTCATCTATTTCTGGAAGATTGAAAATAGTGGTGGTTGGGGTGATAAGTGAGAGGGAGAAAGTAAGCGTGGTTACTTTTAAAAAATGTGAGCCAACCTTTCCTTTCGGTGGCGCGCAGCGCAACATGGCGATACAAATTTCCAAGAAGAGGAAGTTTGTAGCTGATGGCATCTTCAAAGCCGAACTGAATGCGTTTCTCACACGGGAGCTGGCTGAAGATGGTTACTCTGGAGTTGAAGTTCAAGTTACACCAACCAGAACAGAAATTATCATCCTAGCCACCAGGACACAGAATGTTCTTGGTGAGAAGTTCCGGTGGATCCGGGAACTGACTGCCGTGGCTCAGAAGAGTTTTGGTTTCCCAGATGGCAGTGTAGAGCTTTATGCTGAAAAGGTGGCCACGAGAGGTCTGTGTGCCATTGCCCAGGCAGAGTCTCTGCGCTACAAACTCCTAGGAGGGCTTGCAGTGCGGAGGGCCCGCTATGGTGTGCTGTGGTTCATCATGGAGAGTGGAGCCAAAGGCTGTGAGGTCGTGGTGTTTGGGAAACTTCGAGGACAGAGAGCTAAGTCCATGAAATTTGTGGATGGCCTGATGATCCACTACGTTGACACAGCCATACGCCACGTGCTGCTCAGACAGGGTGTGCTGGGCATCAAAGTGAAGATCATGCTGCCCTGGGACCCAAGTGGTAAGATTGGCCGGAAGAAACCCCTGCCTGACCATGTGAGCATTGTGGAACCAAAGATGAGATACTACCCACCACCCCCATCTTGAAGCAGAAGGGTGGGAAGACAGAGAGCCACCTGCTATGCCTCAGCCAGGCCCCACTGCATAACAGGGTCTCCTTGGCAGTCGGATCTGTAATTTGGATGTTGCTCTGTAAAGAACTGCAATCAAAATCTTTTTAAAGAAAGAAAAAAATGTGAGTCAATTTGAAAACTAGAGATCCCTGTGTTATTATATATTCACAGGTGGATTCTGAAGAGCCAGTCTTTGAGGCTGTCATCAATTGGGTGAAGCATTCCAAGAAGGAGCGAGAAGAATCTTTGCCTGACCTGCTACAGTATGTCAGGATGCCTCTGCTGACCCCTAGGTACATCACGGATGTCATCGATGCTGAGGTAAGTCATGTAAGGCACACACGGTCTGGCACCACTTTGACTGTTTCTTGTGATTTAGTAGTGTACTCAAAATTATTTTAATGCAGACTTAGATACTCCTAGTTAACTTCACCTGGCATCTCAAGAGTGTTGTCCTGGAAAGTCTGCAGGCATGGTTCCAAAACAAGTAAATTAGCAAGTCAAGCTCCCAATACATATGAAAAATTTTAATTAAATTTTGTGGGGGTTTTTTGTGTGGCACTGTGGAATAAAGCACTGGACTACAATGTTGGCAATTCAAACTCACCAGCCACTCCTCAGAAACCTTCTACTGGGTCGCTTTTGAAACTACCAGCTGCTCCACAGGAGAAAGATGCTTTCTGCTCCCATAAAGATTTACAGCCTCAGAAACCCTGTTCAGGGTCGCTATGGGTTGGAACTGACTCGATGGTACTTAACAATAACAACAACAGTGAAGTCAACACAAGCAGTTTAATATATTTTAATGCCAATTTTGGTTATATCATTGGGAGTTTATCTTTTAAAGTGTTTCTCTAACTTAAGTGGTTAGTAGTATATTCTCATGATTTTTTACCACACATACCATTTGTATTATTACCTGGACTATATTCTGGGACAACACTGATAGCATGTAGATATTAATGAATTTTTCCTCCTAGCTCAACTCCACGTCTCTTTGGGAGTTAACTATAAACACAAGTATTTTATTATATACTTATATTTGCATAATCATCAGAAGGATCTCTACCTATAAGTGGTGCCAAGGTGGGTGAATATAGAGCTAGGAGGGAAACGTCCTGATATATATCTTGTATCATTTGACTTTTGAATGATGTAAAATGTATCTTCAAAAGATAAAAATAAATGAAAAAAACCACTGTAATTGCCAGCAACCCTCCTGGGACCATAGGACTTTGGAAACTGGTTTTATATATTAGGAAGTTAATTCTTTACATGTAGTGTTTGTATTCTTATTGGCATAACTGGAGGCCCCTGTGCCTCACTCTGCTATCTGCTGTATTTCAGCCTTTCATCCGCTGTAGTTTACAGTGCAGGGACCTAGTTGATGAAGCAAAGAAGTTTCATCTGAGGCCTGAACTACGGAGTCAGATGCAGGGCCCAAGGACAAGGGCTCGTTTAGGTAAGCTGGCATTTTCGCAGAAGGAGGGGATATTTTTCAACTGCTACCTGGAGGTGGCATCATGTAGTTGGAAAAAGCACTGTGTAAGAAGTAAAAAGACCTTGTTTCAAAACCTGTTTTTAATCATTTCTTTTATAGTATCAACTTGGGCAAGTCACTTTACCTCACTGAGCTTTCTTTCCTTTAAACCACCTTGTCTATTTCACATAACTATTTAGAGGTCAGTTGTGGCATTGTAGGATAAGCACTGGTGGATTGCTAACTACAAGGTCAGTGGTTCAAACCCACCAGTTATTCCTTGGAAAGTTTATACAGGGTTGCTATGAGTCAGAACTGACTTGACAACACTTAACAATAATTTGGAGGACTTTGGAGATCTAGTGACACAGTGGTTATGTTTTCAGCTGCTAACTGAAAGATAAAGGAGACTTGATAGCGTAGTGGATTATGAGCTGGTCAGTAGTTCAAATCTACTAGGCCCTTTGCGGGAGAAAGATGAGACTTTCTGCTTCATAAAGATATACTGACTTGGAAACCCTATGCAGGTGTTCTGTTTAGCTTTTGAGTGGGAACCTTTTAAACAAAGATATGAAATCCCAGATTAATAGCATACCAAGTTTTTTATAATGGTAAAGACCTGAACTAGGAGAAAATATTTAATAGGTGTGACAAGAGGTGTTTTTTTTTGTTTGAAGAAAAAGAACCCATGTAAATCAACAAAAAAAAAGATAGCTCAATACAAAGTGGACAAAAGAGATGTTCATGGAGTACACAAAACAGGAAGTGTAAGTCATCAATAAACACTTAAAAATATGTTTTACTAGCAGCTCATGGACAAGAAAATTTTTAAATCTTTGATTCCTAAGCCTTAGATCTCAACTTTTTAGAGACAAGTTTAGGAGGTGTTTTTTCTTTTCCAATTTGAGTTCAAATGACTGTGCCTACTACATAGAAAGGTGACCCAAAAGAATGCAGAACACCTCAAACAATATCATTTATATCACTTGCAAGTAAAATTTTGCTGAAGAAGAAAATAATTCAAAAACACTTATAGCACAGTACATCACAAGGAGCTGGCAGAAATTCAGCCAGTTTCAGAAGAGGACTTGGGATGAGGAATATCATTGCTAATGTCACATGGATCATGGCTGAAAGCAGAGGATACAAGGAAGATGTTTTCTTGTGTTTTGTTGACTGTGTAAAGGCATTTGATGGTGCGGATCATGACAAACTACCAATAACATTGCAAGTAATGGAAATTCCAAAACTTAATTGTGCTCATGTGGAACCTATACACAAACCAAGAAGCAGTTCTAACAGAACAAGGGGAAACTGAATGGTTTCAATTAGTAACAGTGTGCATCAGATTATATCCTTTCACCGTACTTAATTCAGTTTGTAAACGGAGCAAATAATCTGAGAAGCTGTGGACTATATAAAGAAGAATGTGGTATTAGGATTTGAGGAAGACTCACTAACATCTTGCAATTAACAGATGACATTACCTTGCTTACTGAAAGCAAAGAGGACTTGAAGCACTTACGAAGATCAAAGAATACAGCTTTTAGTATGGATTTTAACTCAGCATAAAGAAAACAAAAACCCCTCAAAAAAAACAGAAAAGGTTGAATTCACCAAGGATTTCATTTTATTTGGATCAAAAATCAATGTTCATGGGAGCAGCAGTCAAAAGACCAAACATTGTGTTAATTTGGCAAATCTGCTGCAAAAGACCTCTTTAAAAATGTTAAAAAGCAAAGATGTCACTTTGAGGACTAAAGTACATCTGAACAAAGCCATGGTATTTTCAATCACCTCAAATACATGTGAAATTTGGACAATGAATAAGGAAGACTGTAGAAGAATCAGTATATTTGAAGTACAATGTTGGTGAAGAATACTGAAAGTACCTTGGGCTTCCAGAAAAACGAACTTATCTTGGAAGAAATACAACCAAAATGCTCCTTGACATGATGATGGCAAAATTTGTCTCTCATATTTTGGACAAGTTGTCAGGAGGAACCCATCCCTGGAAAAGGACAGCATGCTTGTTAGAGAGTCAACAAAAAAGAGGAAGACTCATAAGGAGATGAAATGGCACAGTGGCTGCAACAAGGGGCTTAAATATAACAATTGTGAAGATGGCACGGGACCTGGCAATGTTTCCTTTTGTTGTGCATAGGGTCACTATGAGTTGGAGCTGACTCAGTGGCACCTAACAACAAGAAGCCACAACTCCAAACTCTAGAGACAAGGTTCAGAAATGTTCATTCTGTTCCAATTAGAATTGTATAGGCTGAGAAGGGATCCAAGTGGTCCAAATGGTGTAGTGGTATGTTCAGTTTGCTTTGTAAGGTCTTAATGTTGTCCAGGAATTTAAATTTCAAAACCAAGTCCTCAAGAGGGAGGCCCTCAAGAAGAAATTTCATTTTAAGAAACTTTATGACATATCTCCTATCAGAATGCTTTTCTGGATCATATAAAACAAGGTAATCTAGAATTGTTTCTACTTATACTGTCCTATGAGTAGTTACCTAACCAAGAATGACAAAGTGTATCTCTTTCTCCCTTTCTCCACAGGAGCCAATGAAGTGCTTTTGGTGGTTGGAGGCTTTGGAAGCCAGCAGTCTCCCATTGATGTGGTAGAGAAATATGACCCCAAGACTCAGGAGTGGAGCTTTTTGCCAGTAAGCTGTGGTGGAACCAGTTGTGGGCAGAGAGCTTAAATGTACTTATTCCCTGACTCTAGCTCATAGCTAACCCAGCCCTAAGACTAGATAAGTCTAGCAACAGCACATTGTTCATTAGAACACTGTTTGCACACAGTAGCTATACAGTTGTTGAGTAAAGATTAAACTTCAGATATGTGATTAGCCTTGTATCAAATTAAACTGAGCTGACCACAACTCATTTGGCATCTGGATAATTTTCAACATGCTGGTCAGATGGTGTGTTAAAGAGGATTTAAGGTTAATTTGAGGTAATGTTTAACTTAATTCAGAAATTGGTGTCTTTTTCTTTTGGTACCTCCTTATATTTTATTGCCGAATCAATGGTAATGATTCTTCTGAGAAAACATAGAAATATTTTGCTCAGTCCTCCTCTACCTTTAAGGGTCTTAGAATACTGGCCATTTGATTACTGTTCCAATGTTGGAATAGTTTTCACTTCAACAAATAGTCCAGTATCCTGTGGAATAGAAAGGAGTCAGGTACAAAATCATCGAAGGAGATTTAATCCCTTTGAAGCTTTGGAATATGGCAAATGTATAAGATAATAAGCAAAAGATTATTTGTTCAGTAGGCTGATAGCCAGAGGCCACTTGAGGATGAACCACTGCCTGTAGTTCATGGTGACAACTAAAATAGCAACGAAGTTTATGGATAACAACAGGAATACTGACTTTTAATATTAAGTACCACTTGTCTCCAAAATCCACAGAGCATTACTCGTAAGAGACGTTATGTGGCCTCGGTCTCCCTACATGACCGCATCTATGTAATTGGTGGTTATGATGGTCGTTCCCGCCTCAGTTCAGTGGAGTGTCTAGACTACACAGCAGATGAGGATGGGGTCTGGTATTCTGTGGCTCCTATGAATGTTCGAAGAGGCCTTGCTGGAGCTACCACCCTGGGAGGTAGGCTTGATGTTCAGGGTGATGTTTCCATTTTTCTGTAGCTGGGTCAAGGTTCATACCTCTCCCATTGTCTGGCAGGAGCATGAAATGGGAAAAATAACTGGTAAGATCAAATATACCTTTTAGCTTTGGACATATTAATGGTACCAAAACTGTTCAATATTCATGGATGTTTCAACACTGTCACTACTAAATTTTAAGTTCCTGTGTATAGGATGAGAAACTATCACTATTTTTTTTTTATAAACTACATATAGTCTCTTCAGATGATCCTGAGGATTGTCTTACCCCATTTTTTTTTTTTTTTAATCTTGATTGATTTATCCCATAAAATGTACTTTAAAATGCTTGCTCCCAGACATCTGGGGGCCTATGAAGAATTTGCAGAGGAAAAAGTTATTAGAAACTGCTCAGTCTCTAATAGTATGATTTCTTTACTCTGGGCAGATATGATCTATGTCTCTGGAGGCTTTGATGGAAGCAGGCGTCATACCAGTATGGAACGATACGACCCAAACATTGATCAGTGGAGCATGCTGGGAGATATGCAGACAGCCCGGGAAGGCGCCGGACTAGTGGTGGCCAGTGGAGTGATCTACTGTCTTGGTATTCGGCCTGGGATATAAGGATGGGAGAGAACCCAAGGGGTGGCAGACTGTGAGTGGGCATCCCCTTTAAACAGAGATAAGTGCATAGACCTCCCTTCAACTAAAATCATGGCCTAACTCAATGTGTTTTCCATTAATGAGGATTGTCTATATTTTGTAAACAGATAATAGGGTACTTTCCATTTCCCTTCATGTTAATGGAACTTTTGTGGGAGTACTGAAACAAAATTAGTAGAAATATTCAGAAGGTCAGACTGGGAATGGACATGTGGAATGATTTCTACTATGTGTTTCAGGAGGATATGACGGCTTGAATATCTTAAATTCAGTTGAGAAATATGATCCTCATACAGGACACTGGACTAACGTTACACCAATGGCCACCAAACGCTCTGGTAAGACCAGTCAGACTTACAGAAGGCATTAATTACAGTGCTGTCACATCTTGACATATGCAGTAATACTGCAGTCACAGGGCCAGGGTATCAGTAAATCAGAGTTAAATATCCCACTTCACTGTTGTTGTTGTTTGTTGTTAAGTGCCCTCAAATAACAATTTAAAGAGGACTTTTCCGACTCAAGCAACCCTGTATAGAGTTTCCAAGGAGTGGCTAGTGAGTTTGAACCTTTGACCTTGCAGTTCAAACTGACCTTACAGATCAGTGCTTCATCCTACACTTCACTGTAGACAATGTAACACATTAGTCAGATTCCATTCTCCTCTATGCCTCTGTTTTTTTCTAAATATTAATGAGAATATAAACAACTAGTTTTGGTTTTTATTTCATATATTTTATTTTTTCACTTTGTAGATATTTAACTTACTTTTTCTTCACATCAACCTAATACTTTTTTTTTTTTAAGTTTTTATTGTGAATTGAGTAATAGTTTACATGGGAGAACATTGGTTTTACACTCATCGTTTTATTGCAATGATTACAGTCCCCTCCGTGCATCATCGTTCAACAGTATTTGTTTCTATTACCTCTGTTTTTTGTTTTGTTTTGTTTTGGGGGGCAGGGGATGTATATCAAAACACTCAGGAATATGTAATCATTTAGACAACCAAAGGGTACATTCTGCAAGCCTGCCTCCTGGCCACCAGCTCACAGCCTTTCTCTTTCCTTGAGTCTAGAGTCCTCAGTCTGTCAGTCTGTCTCTCCATGTCCTCATCTCTGCCTCCATCTCTGATGTTGCTGCTTCTCTGGATAGGGTCCCACATTCTGCTCGTGCTCTTCTCTCTTGATGGTCCCAGGGTCCTATGTTCTTGACTGTAAGATTAACTACTTCCCACTTTTTGTTACAACACTTCTACCTTTACAGTTGTGACAATCACAATTAATCGTGATAACAGTTAATTCACTATTGAATCATAAGAATCTTATCCCCATCTCCTTTCGCCAGACCCGTCTAGACAAGATGAAAACTGTTCAGTAGAGATTCTACTTTCCCCCGTACACTCTGAAACTAAACTCCCTCTTGAAAACTTATAAGCCAGTCACTTTGTGCCTTTACACCCCCACCCCATTTTACGTAGCCAATGTCTAAGTTGCCCAGTTGCCTGTCCCTATCAACCCTGTATACAGAGGGAATAGAATTGATACTTAATGTAAAGACTCCTTCCCTCTCTGTTGGTATTTTGAGCTACTACATCCATTAAGTAGAGGTTAGACAGCTATGTTTTCAGATAGATTGTATATTCCGTATTCTTCATCAGCACAGTAATTCATTGGCATCAAGTTTTCAGTCTTTCTTTTTAATTGTACAGCTTTCACAATGCATATCAGGTGAGTGAAAATACCATGGTTTGGATTAGGTGCACCTCAGTCCTCTAAAGTGGCATCTTTGCTGTTTAACAATTTAAAGAGGACTTTTGCTTCAGATTCGCCCATTACAATACATCGTTTGATATCTCCACTGCTACTTCCATGGGTGTTGATTGTATATTTAAGTGAAATGAAATTCTTGGTAACTTCAGTCTTTTCTCTGTTTATCGTGATCTTTTTTATTGGTTCAGTTGTGAGGATTTTTGTTTTCTTAGCATTATTGAGGTGCAATCCGTCCTGAAGGCTCTAGTGTTTGATTAACAATAAGTGCTTCACATCATCTTTGCTTTCTGCAGGCTAGGATGTGTCATCTGCATATCTGCATATTACAGGTTAATAAGCCTTCTTCCAATCATGAGGCAATGTTCTTCTTCATATAATCCAACTTCAAAAATTATTTCTTTAGCATATAGGTTGAATAAGTATGCTAAAAGGATGCAACATCTTTCTTCACTTTAAACCACTTGATACCCTTTATTCTGTTTGTACAGTTGCCTCTTGGTCTATGTACAGGTTCCGTGTTGCTCAGCATACAGATTGAATAAGTCTGGTGAAAGAATACAGCACCTTTCCTGATTTTAAGCCACTTAGTGTCCCTTTGTTCTGTTTGAACAACTGCCTCTTGGTCTATGGACAGGTTCTTCATTAGCACAATTAAGTGTTCTGGAATTCCTATTCTATACAGTGTTATGCATAGTTTGTTATCCACACAGTTGAATACCTTTACATAGTCAAAAAAGCACAAGTAAACATATTTCTAATACTCTCTGCTGTCAGCCAAGACCCATCTAAACATCAGCAATGATCTATCTCGTTCCACATCTTCTGACTCCAACTTGAATTTCTGACAGCTCCCTGTCAATCTACAGTTGCAACCAGTTTTCAATTATCTTCAAAATTTTACTTGAGTATGATATTAATGATATTGTTTGATGATCTTTACATTGCTGGGTGACCTTTCTGTGAGTTGTGCACAAATAAGGATTGCTTCCAATCAGTTGTCTGTTAGCTATCTTCCAAATTTCTTGACATAAATAAGTGAATACCCCCAGCACTGTATCACTGAATGTTTGTTGAAACATTCAAGTTTGT